TCCATCTCTGAATAGAAAACAAAATGAGCTATTAACGGATCTCTTCGCTCCTGGTGCACAGAGACGAGGTGCTCAATGTACGACCAAACAACAAGAGAGACAAAAGATGAAGCAGACGAAGGCAGAAATTTTCATTATGTGCATGGATTAGATTACATGCCGAAACAAAGGCCATGCATTGCAAAAAAAATGGTTTTCTTACTTTTGTTTTTTGTTTTTTTTCAAGTAGAAACATCAAAACATTTTTAAATCAAGATACATTTACTTCAGAAACATTTAGATTTTAGATATCAAGTCTCTGAAAAGTTTCTGAAAATGTGTAAAGATTAAGTGTGTTTATGCTTGAAAAAAATGAAAGTTTGCTGGAAATTTGCTCTTCCTCAGGCCATCCAAGATGTAGATGAGTTTGTTTCTTCATGGGAACAGATTTGGAGAAATGTAGCATTACATCGCTTGCTCACCAGTGGATCCTCTGCAGTGAATGGGTGCCGTCAGAATGAGAGTCCAAACAGCTGATAAATACATCACAATAATCCACAAGTAATCCACACCACTCCAGTACATCAGTGAAGTGAAAAGCTGTGTGTTTGTAGGAAACAAATCCATCATTTGAACTTCAAACCGAAGCTCCTAACAACGAATTCCTTGTGTGTGTAAACACACTTGGCAATAAAGCTCTTTCTGATTCTGATTCTGATTTCTGATTCTGGCTAAAATGCGAGCCCATAATCCATAATATTGCTTTCTCCAGTGAAAAAGTCGTCTCGTCTGAATCAGGAGAGAAATCTGCACAGATCAAGCACTGTTTACAAGCTAAAACAGCCCAAAACAGATCTAAACAAATATGTGGGTGGATTTTGATGTGGGAGGACAACAGGAGATGGACTTCACTAGAGGAAGCGTTATTATGGATTATAGACTCCTATTTTGGCCAGAAGAAATGGTTTGAAACTAAAAAAGCTCTAATAATGGATTTGTTTCTTACAAACACGCAACTTTTGGCTTCACAAGGCTTTAACTAATGGACTGGAGTGGTGTGGATTTTTTGTGGATTATTGTGATGTGTTTATCAGCTGTTTGGACTCTCATTCTGACGGCACCCATTCACTGCAGAGCATCCATTGGTGAGCAAGTGATGCAATGCTACATTTCTCCAAATCTGTTTCCATGAAAAAACTATTCCTTCAAAACAAGAAAAAAAAATAGGGGTAAGAAAAATAAATTTTATTAAAGGGGTCATATGATGCTGCTAAAAAGAACATTATTTTGTGTATTTGGTGTAATGAAATGTGTTTATGTGGTTTAAAGTTAAAAAAACACATTATTTTCCACATACTGTACATTATTGTTTCTCCTCTATGCCCCCCAAGAGCTTGTAACACTCCAAAGAGAAAGGAAAAATTGAAATCGCATCATATGACCCCTTTAAAAGGGAAAATAAGATTTTTTTCTTACTTTATTGGCAGATATTTTTTTCTTGTTTTAGGCAAAACCTTAATTTAGATTTTTTTTCCCCAAAAAGCAAGATTTAATATCTTATATAATTTTGCTTTTCAAGTAAAATCATTTTTTGCTGTATGTCTGTAATGGTTTCACACGTCCAATATTCTAATGTTTTGGTCTCCTTGTGAACTTTCATCAAGTCTGCGTCTGGTCTTTGGCTGTGAACGTTCTGCCCTTTCTGTCTGTTCCTGTGAGGAACTCACACATTTTCAGTCCTTTTGCTGCAGATCGTGAACTGGGCAGCACTGAGAGTGACCTTAAAAGGCATTTCCCATGGTGCCCTGCTGCTGTTTCAAGAGGACTCGACGAGAGGGAAGAAAAAGTGAGTGGTGTGGCACAGGTCTCAATGAAAAATGTTGCACTGGCAGCGGAAGTAACTTAATTCAGCATCTTTATGAGATAAAGTCAGATATTATTTAATGGTGAAATGTGTCATTTCAGCTGCAGACGGAATTTGAACACACAAGTAAATCACATGAAAGCCATCAACACATCCATAGATATCCGAGACGGAATCCTCCAATACAAAGTCACAAGATAATAGATTTTGGAATTTTGGATTTGGAATTTTGGAATTTAGAATAAATGCCTACAGATGTTTCAGAACAACAGTTGAAAAGCATTTCTAACAGTTTCTGACTCACTGTGTGATTCGAGGGGCCAGAAGGTCCCGGACGGTTTGGGAATGCACCACGGCGAGCTCCCCTCCACGGGCTGAGCAATTACGCCGAGCATCTGACCAGCTGACTTCCTCCGACACCAACAGGAAACAGCGGGATGAGTCAGCGTGATGGATCGCATCTGGCAAACACAGCGGCTCCGCTAAAAGGCCAGAAATTTGACTTCAGAAATTTAGAACAATTTTCCAATTCTAAACAACAATAATATATAATATAATATAATAATATAAGTCTCTTCTTCTCATAAATTCCGCATTTACTTGATCAAAAATTCAGTAAAAACAGTAATATTGGGAAATATTATTACTTTATTAATGTAATTTATTCCTGTGATGCAAAGCTGAATTTTCAGCATCATTACTCCAGTCTTCAGTGTCACATGACCCTTCAGAAATCATTCTAATATGCTTGTAAAAATTTGGTCTTAGAACAGAGCGTATGTTTTTGTCTTGTACCTCTTGCTATCTCTCTCCCATCCTTCCTGATCCTCCAGTCCACGTTTACGCCCACTCCGCCCCAGTTGACCAGAGAAACCACCTCCTCCAGGCTCTGATTGGCCACTATGAGTTCGGGGCAGTGGAGCTCGAGTCGAGGGGGCAGTTCCACGCTCACGTTCCCCTGCGCCACAATCTCCTGGTGACCCGCTGAGAGACTCACCTGAGGCTGGTACCGTCCCGGGACACCGTACTTATGCCTCACCGTGGTGTTGGGCGTAGAGGTGTTGACCCGGGGCGAAAGGTCACCGAAGTCCCATGAGAAAGAGGCAGGGAAGACGGACGAGGCGACAGACAGGACAGCCTCTGAATGAACAGACACACGGCGAGAAGGAAGAGAGGCAGAGAAATTCACCTGTGGACGGAGAGCATATTCAACCTACTATGACACACTAGCGTTCAAAAGTTTGGAGTTGAACATTTTTTAAAGAAGTCTCTTCTGCTCATCAAGGCTGCATTTATACTATCTAAAATACAGTAAAAACAGTAAAACTGTGAAATAGTATTACAGTTTAAAATAACTGTTTTTCTACGTGAATATATTGTAAAATGTAATTTATTGCTATGATGCAAAGCTGAATTTTCAGCTTTCACATGATGCTTCAGAAATCACAAAACATTTCTTTGATGAATAGAAAGTTCAAAAGAACAGCATTTATTTGAAATAGAAGACTTTTGTACCCTCATGTCAGTAATCACATGATTAATCAAGTCAAAGGCAAGGTAACAATCTGAACCTGAAACACGTCCTGCGCCACAGTCCAGAGGCACTCCTTCATGACCAGCGGGTCCGAGCACGCGGCCGAACACTGGGACTCGCTGATGTGGTTGGGCTCGGAGTTGGTGCTGCACAGACACTCTCTCTGCTGACCCAGACCGCCGTAGCGCTGGTTCTCATGGAAGCATTTGGAGTTGCATTCCTCACGCGAGAACGGGCCGGGAGTGGAAGAGGAGAAGATGACCAGCTCCACGCCTGCAGCATGCTCCTCGTCCTGCAGACAGCCCGCGTACGTCAGGCCTGAGAGATGAGAGAGAGAGAGAGACAGCAACAGCCATGTCAAAGCTCTGAAATAAATGTATATACATGCATGTGTTTGTATTTATATATACATAATAAATATACACAGTACACACACATATATTTATGTGAACAAAACTTTTATTTTGGATGTGATTAATCGCGATTAATCGTTGCCCAGCACTAGTTTGGATATATTAAAGGTTAAAATGAACAACTGATTTCTATACAAATATTTAAATTGCACTAAAGGGAGTTTTCTTTAATGAAAGAATTATGTTTCCATTCTTATTTTTTATTTTTTTTTTGGAAATATAAATACATTTAAACGGTGGCTGTCATAAAAACTTGTTTTCAGGACGGATTTATTCAAATATACATTAAATATTGCAGAACAGGTTAAATAAAAATGAAATGAATATGTAATATAGTGCATATTCTTATCAAAATGCTCTTTCTAGAGTTTTTTTTTCTAGCTAGCTATCAAGTTTATATTACGTGACATTGTTTACAAGTTGTTTTACTGATGTCTTTCTGCGGTTGAAACACCGATTGAGTGATTCCATGAGACATGATACATTTCAGTAAGTTGTACGGTTTCTTTCAACATACCTTCTGATGTTTATTCATGTTTATTTCATGCTGTAACTAATATCAAAGAAGAGATGATCGGTTCACTTTTGCTCCTCGCAGCTGCTTGAACTAAAGGCAGCTAAAGCAATCTGTTACACCACATTAAAGAGCGCATGAAGCTTATTGCCATTTATCCACCTTATTCTTAACGTAAGTGCGGGTGCCCAGCCATTTGTAAGGCTTCCGGTTTCATCTGCTTCCGATTTAGATATCGGTTCATCAATATGAGAATCAATTAAGAAACTGCTATTGTAAATTCATTAATTAGTTTCGACTGCATTTGGAATATAACTGTAGAGTATGTTCTGTGCAGTACTGAATACTAACAGTGTGTCAAACAACAGATGTGTTGGAAAAGCTTACTAAAATACTACAGCTACTGTTTCTACAGTATATAGTATGCATGCACAGTATGCATGAAATACCTGAACGACCTACATCATTTTCCAAAATGTGTTCTATAGAGCACACTGTGCTGTGTACTGTTTCCTACAATGCAACTTAATTTGACCCCCTATTTTTAAGAAAAAATTCATTATACTGCCAAATGTTAAGACACTTTTAAATAAAATAAAAATTAAATTGCATACTTATTTTTATTTTTTTATTTTTTTGCAGTACATTTTTTTTGTTGTATACAGTTTCACAAACTATTTTAAAAATAACAGCCAGTTTACAGCATTATTAATTAATGCATTAATTCAACAAACATTTCAAATTGCAGCATGCTGCACACTGTCACATGATTTTATTAAGTGCGTGTTTAATTGGGCAAATGACAACTCATTTTTGTGCATTTCTTTTTTTTTTTTTTAAATGTTATGTGCCTTTTTTAACATGCAAAATTGTATAATTTTTGATGTTTAATTTTTTTTATTTTATTTGACATATATTAATATCAATTAGATACCAATATAGTTTTTATTAATATCTTGAGTTAGTTTTTACTTTTATATTTTGTTATAATTTGTTGGGTTTTTGCCATTTTTATTCGTTTTTTTCTAATGTGTTTTTTTTATTTAGTACATCAAGTTACATTTTGGTTAACTATAATAACCCAGACTTGAAATTGAGCGCATTGCATAATGGGACACAATTTCATGCAGTCGGCTCTGCTGTATACTGTACACTTTAATAGATGCAGAAGGTCATGGGGCTCATTTTGGGCACAATACACATACTGCATACTACAGAAACAGCACAAGTAGCTGGCCTAAATACTTCATATAGTTAATACTTGCACACAGAGATGTGTCCCTGTCACTCACCGCAGGTGTGCACACTGACGTTGAGCAGCGGCTGGTTTTTCACCTCGGGCGGCCGGTCACAGAGCATAGAGTTGGGTCGCTTCACTCGAACGCCCTGATCCTGCAGCCAGCTCACCAAGCGCACCAGCTTACAGTCGCAGATGAACGGGTTAAAGCTCAGATCTCTGCCAAAAGACAGAGGGAGTATTTCATAAACCGGCATAGGCTGAAAACATTATATGGCCCTTATTCAAACAGCAATGTGTGATAAGGATAGTAATTTAAAGAGGATGTGGAGACCCGGGGTGTAACTTAAGCCTTGTTTTGTTTGACATGTACACAAATGATGGTACGGCAGCGGCGGAGCAATCTGTCACCGCAGACGCACTCTTTTATCAGTCCAGGAAACACAACACACACTCTAATCTATAATTATTGTGGAACTGAAAGACGTTCACCGGGGAATTTTAATCAGCGTATGAAAGCAGTACTTGAAAAGTCACAGAGAGAACGCTGTACTAGAAAATGAAGCTTTAGAAAATTAAAAAATGCCAATAGAATTCGGATAAGACCATTTAATCATTTGATATGTGAATATTAAATCACAAAGGGAAAAGAATCTTAATGTTTCCTTTAACTATAATCATTATAATTTGGCAAAACGTTACTGCGATAAAATGCAATAAAATAGACTGTGTAGCACCATTACGATTTCCTTACATTATTTTCATGACTGTAATTCAAATCATCTGGACACACTTTGAAATTAAATTCAGTTCAAAAACTACCACCAAGTATACCTGTAATTGTACTTTGTAATAAATAATATATTATGACATCTTTTATTGGAGTAATCTCTATTTAACCAGTTAACTTTTGTATTTAATTTGCTTTTGTTTGAACTGAAAGACTTGAGCGCACCTGGTTGATTTGCATTTAATTTAAAATCAAATCAAATAAGTCTACCGCAATTAAAGATGCCATGACATATTATTTAGTATTATTTAATTTATTGACTTCCTCATAAATAAAATAAAAATGTTTGCTGTAATAAAGGATGCGAAGATATATTAATTAATATTATTCCATTTATACAGGTCCTCATAAAATAAAATAAAATAAAATAAAATAAAAGATGATGCTGTATGATTCAACCTGCTATTGTACAAATGTACGTAAACATAATGGTAGTATTTGTACTAAATTTATTTTATGCCAAATTAATTTAAAAAGCATTGTGTCCACACATATTTTCAATACTTTTATAGTAATGAGAGTCTGGAGACAAACATAATGTCAATAAATCCTAATAGTCCTAAAAAGAAGCTTCATCATCCCTGCGGAAAATATAATTGTGATTAATGTGACCCAAGTTATTTCTTTGTGAGATTCCCCCATTTATATGACAACTTTTAAAGCATTAACAAACATAAGCATAACTGAATGTGTCTTAGAGGTTGTTTATTTGTGTGTGTTTAACGAAATTTCAGTTAAATGGACAAACACAATTCAGACAGGAACTGTTGCAACATGATGCCAGAACAGATCTTCTGCTTTCTTCTGCTGAGAAATAAGGCCGACCTGCCACACTAACTAAACTAAACTAAACTAAACTAAACTAAACTAAACTAAACTAAACTAGCGCATCTGTGTTAAGATCTAGACTGGTTTTCTGGTTTAAGCTCAGGTCATTCAGCTTTTTTTTTTACTTTTGACAACACAACATTCGAAACGTGCGTGTTTATACTCACATCGTAGTTAAATTAAATAAATTATCACACGTTCGTTCCTCGATGGTGGTGATCTGGTTGTTGCTCAAATCTCTGCAAGACAAAAGTGGAACATATATTATTTCTCAGCCTCAGTAGTTATTTCTTCTTTCTTTTCCTCTCAGTATAATCGTTCCCTTGTTCAGCCGTTGGAGCAGCATATGGAAAAGTTCTGGAGTGATTTTGGTGTACCAGACGGTGTGTGTGTGTGTGTGCTGAAATGCAGCAGGAAATGGTGCAGTCAAAGCCTGAAGCAATGACGTTTAATTGGTTGTAATGGGCATGTGATTGAACATACAATGTGTGTGTGTGTGTGTTAGAAACGCTGTAGTTGAAGTGCACGTCTGTTACTGTTCACACAACAAAGATAAACATCTGGATACATGACTGATTCACTTTGTATTTATTTTGCTTTTGTTTGAGCTGAAAGAGTGGAGTGTGTCCGGTTGATTCGCGTTCAGCTTCTTCAGCGTTTGACTCTGCGGTTCGGGAGAGACTCCAGAAAGATCCGCCTACACATTCTCACCATATGAGCTCAAAAACCGTCTGGGAACTAGACCATACTGCCGCCCACACGCACACTTACAGCACAGCTAACGGCCCACAGTCGAAGATCCCACGAGGAAGAGTGACCAGACGATTGCTCTGAAGATACCTGAGGA